CTTCGACCTTCCGACACAATTCCTCTCCGGCGTGGTGCAGTACCTGCCCTCGAGCAGCCAGATCGGCTCAAATAGCATCGCACTGGTCAGCCGCGGCTTCAACGACCTCTTCGCCGCTAACGTCAATGAAGAAGAAGAGGACAACAACAATGATGGCGCCATCCAGGGCCCGAGCCTTCGCCAGCTGATTGCCGAGGGCGTCACCTCGCTCCGTCTGGACGCCTGTCGCCAGGCTCGACGCCGGCGCCCAGTTTTGGTGCCGGACTTTCCTCGAGGGCCCTTCCCTCGCCAGCGCCTCTCCGCCGCCGACTACTTTGACCATGGCTTCGCTCTCGCCCTCGACGGCGACTACTTCCACCCGGGAGACCGTCTGGACCAGGGTGGGCTGCAGCGCCGCCTGACGGTGAAGCTCGACGGTGGGTGGGCCGATCTGGGCGCCGCTGGCCTTCTGGACTCAAACTTCAACGCTGCAGGACAAGTGCTAGCGGACACTCGCCACCTGGCCACCGACCAGGAGCTCGGCACTTTTGGCCCACAGCAGAACATTGGCTACCCGTGGTCGGTGACGGCTGGACGACGTCGCAAGGTCTTCGAAGAGGATGATCTCAAAGAATGCGATGATCTCTTTGATGAAATTCGATCCACTCCGACGCCTGGCTACGATCTCACCTTGCGCACCGCCGATTCAGTGCGCCGTCTGGTAGGCACTTTTCCCAACGTCCGCCAGGTGACGCTCGTCTACACGGCGCCCTTCTTTGGACTGCATTCATCCTCTTCAATCGGAAATGGCAATGAAATGGCCAGCCCCACCGTCATCCCTTTGGCTGAAGCCTGGCCCCTGCTCGAGGACCTGCGCCTCATTGGACGAGTGTACGAGGGAGACGTCGATGTCCAGGTGGAGAATCAAGAGGGCTTCGATAATTTCCTCAAAGAAGACCTGAAGAAGATCATTCGCACCGATTCATCTGAGGATTCATCTGAGGAGGATTCAAGTGGTTCATCTTCTGACGATAGTAGCATCAGCACTTCCAGCACTTCCAGCTCTTCCAGCTCTTCCAGCTCTTCCAGCATCAGCAGCAGCAGCAGCGGCACCACTCCCAGCAGCAACAGCATCTTCTACTACCATGGCCGCCGAACTACCTACGAAAATGTTTATGGCAGCAATAACAGCAGCAATGATTTCAACGCCGATGACATGGAGGAGGATGACCGCAATGACGACGACAATGACGACGATGACGACAACGACGATGACGATGACGACGATGCTACTACTATCATCGTTGGGGAGTTCTCCGGTGAGGACACTGAGGACGAAGACGAAGGAGGCAACCGCAACAACGGCGGCGACGGCGGCGACGGCGGCAACAATCTCGAGATGAATGTCGACGATGGCGGCGAGGTGGTGGTGGGGGTGGTGAACCACCTTCAGGAGCTTCCACTCAACAACAACAACGACAATCCCGACCAGCACTTTGGTGGCATTCCGAACATCGATAACGGCTATGAGGGTGACGACGACTACAGCGGCGACGATCAGAATGAGGAGGAGGAGAACAGCTCGGACTCGAAGAGTGATGAGGAGGAGGAGGAGGAGGAGGAGAAGCCCATGGAGGAGGGCTCTAATAATGAAGAGAAAAAGGATTCTGATGAAGATTCGAAAATTGTTGAGAAAGTCGACTCTGAACGCTTTGAGAAGAGCTCGGAAAGCACTGCTGAAATGGCTTTCGAGGATGATGATGAGGAAGAAGAGGGGGAGGGGAAGGAGAAGGAGGGGGTCAAGGTGCGAATGCGTTTAATGCCTGACACCAAAGAGCAGTCACCACAGTCTCCGCCCACCGCCGTCATCCTCCTCCCCGCCCACGTCCAGGCGGAGCTCGCCCGTCGAACCGCCCTCGTGCGTTCTGTCTACGCCCCCCTCGACGGCCTTGCCCACCTCCGCCACCTGACCACCAGCGCCACCGTGGAGGAGGTGCTGACCGGGGTGTCGCCCGTCGTCCTCCGCCGCCTCCACTCGTTGAACCTCGTCCTCGCCGGCGACTGCCTCCGCCACTGGACCGCCACCGCCCACCTCTCCTCCTCCGCCACCGAGAACACCGCCCACAACGACGAGTTTGAGCTGCTCAATGGGGCGTTCAACCCATCACCAAACGACGGTGACCCGCCCCTGCTCGGCAGCCTCACCAGCCTGGGCCTGTACCTGGAGACGGCGGAGTACAGCCCTAGCATTGAGCTGTTGGCGGTGGGCGGTGCCCGAGTTCTGCGTCGACTCGCCTTCCGCGATCGCATCGCCCCCAAGACGATCCAGTACATTGCCGAGCAGTTCAAGCACAGCCTCGCCTACCTCGACTTTGCCGTCGATCGCTACACAGCGGAAGTCTTTGCCGAACCGGTCGAGCCGGTCAATAAGGCTGATAAGGGTGGTCAGGATGATCCGGAGGTTGATCAGATGGACGTCGAAGTTAGTGAGGACGAAGGCAACGAAGGCAGCGATGCTAAGAAGAAGGACAAGGAGCCCGAGGTGGGCTACTACTACTCCCTCTCCAAGCTGCTCACCACTCTTCAGCAGCTGTCCAACCTGGAGGAGCTCCACTTCTCCTACCTGCCCACCGAGGTCATCACGCTGAACGAGGTCCGCACTCTTCGCGGCCGAGCCTTCCTGAAGATGGCCACTGAGAAGTGGGTCCGCGAAGTGGAAGCTGGTCAGCTGTCATTTCCCGGCGTGAAACGCCTTCGCGCCCAGTTCTGGAGCACCCTGCACGCCCTTCCCCACCTGAAGGCAGTCTTCCCCGACGCCGAGGAGATACTCTTCACCGTTCCAGTGGCCAAGAAGGGCCTGGAGGACAGCCTGGCGAAGCTGGGCATCGCCTTCGAGGACCTGCTCTGCGAGGACTACCTGAAGAGTTCGCAGCTGTGCTCAGGCTGCGCCAGCGCCCACCACCTCTACAAGGAGTGCCTCCGCCTGGGCGCCAAAACGGTGATCATCAGCGTCTTGAGCAAGGACGACAGCAACAACAGCAGCTCCTGCTGCTGGGCCCTCGAACCTTCGACCACCGACGAAGAAGAAGAGGTGGAGCTCGGTCAGGTCAGTTTCTTCCTCAATGAGAAGAACTACATCAACTAATGTCCGTCGTGAACGATTCGAGTGAGTTTTGCTTATCAAATCTGGTGGTGAATTATTACCACTGCAAAACTTTGCTCTGATTTGCCAATATTACCACTTTATACTATTCTTTTTATTGTTTTTACAATCGACACCTACGACACTACATTCTATCTTCTTTATCAGCTTTGGTATGTTGCTACTGTTGAAAAACAGTATTTGTACTTTCAAGCTGTCTATCTATTTTCCTGTTATTAATACACACACACACACACACAAACACAACACTGCACAATATTTTCCTTTTGAGCTTTAATATTTTACCATTAATAATTTTTTCAATAAAGCTCACAAAAAAATTCTGTTTCTACCTTTGATTTCAGCTCATTCAGTAATCATTAAAAAACACCAACGCTTAACAGACAAATAAAGTTTTATGAGTGAGAAAGGTAACAAAGTAAAAAGTAAAAAACTTGACTAAAACAAAATGAGAGAAAAAGAGAAAAAGATTGAAAAAAACAGGATTTGTTCAACTACAACAGCTAATGTGGAGATATAAAAAGAGATAAAAAATGACAATTTGTTTAGAAAAACTGTGTGTGTGGGGGTTGTTTTTGAGTACAATACAAGTGTTCCAGAACTACTTGTCAGTATTTGGTAAAACAAAGGAAATCAATAGCAATAAATGGAAATAAAAAATCAAGATCAGAAGTTTGGAATTTAAGTAAATCAGGAGAATAAAAAACTAAAAATAGTCAAAATGAAAATGAGAGATAGAGAGTCAGTCAGGAAAGTATTGTGATGTTACAAAACACTAGAGAAACAGGAATTTTCAGAATCCGTTTTTCAGAATTCAAGATCTCTCTTTCCCCTGATCTTCACTGACTGCGAATCTTCCCCGGCGAGTAGCCCTTATCGAGGAGCGGATCCTGGAGGAACATGTGCAGGCACTTCTCATTCTGCGCCAACGGGTGGCCGGCCACCTTGTTGATGAACTGCTCCAGGCCGCGCTTCCGCTCCTCGATGAACTCCTCCTCAAAGATGCCCTCATCGGAGCGGAAGGGCAGCTGGCGACGCCAGCCCTTGCCCGGCAGCGGCGGCACGACGATCTTCGAGTCACGCTCCAGCTCATTTCGGAGCCACTCAAAGTCGGAGTAGCGGCGGCGGACGATCGATTCCTTCAGCTTGAAGATGGGCAGATTGCTCTGATAAGAAAGTTAAAGACAAGTTAAATTTTTGATAAGGTTAAAATAGCCGAAAATTACACTTACCCGCATGCGAACCTCGTAGTCGGTGTAGCGGTTGCGGGCAATGCCGTGCGTCACCGGATTGAGCACGTCAATCTCGAGGAAGTTGGCCGGCTCGGAGTAGGCGTCATCGAGGGTTTGCTTCTTGGGCGCCAGACGGCTCAGAGAGTCGCGGTTGACCGAGGTTGAAGTGGGCGAGTCCATGATGATTCGAATTGGAAGTGGAATGATAAGTGTCAGAAGTGGTGATGGTGATGATGATGATGATGATAAGGTAAGGTAAGGTAAGGTAAGGTAAGGTGAGACTGTTTGAATCACTGGGAATGACTAGTGTCCAAAACTTTTAGATGTAAATCGGCTTGAGAAAGAAGCTGGCCGCGGAGATGTGCTGCGGATCAGTGTCGGCGCTGTAGTAGGGGTGTTCCGGGTAGTAGGAGGGCGTTTGGCGGGAGTAGAGGCCGCCGGTGTAGTTGGGGTGATAGAGTCGGCTGAGGTGAATCAGCCAGTAGTGGGAACTAAGGGAGAGGACGGCGGTGAAGTAGACGCGGGTCAGGTAGTGGAAGGCGGCTCGGTGGCGATTTCCAATTGGGTCGAGCAGGGGATGGTGGGCTAGCAGGCAGCTGGGCAGGAAGTAGGGGGCGAGGAGGAGGTGGAGGATGAAGCCCGGATAGCTGAAGAGCATATCGGGAAGGGGAAATGGAAATTGGAATTGAAAGGAATGAAAAGCGAGTGTTAGTACGGCATGCTAATTGCGGTAGTGAATAAAAGTTGGGACGGGGGTCAAGTGGGAAAACTAGTAGTAGTAAGCTGCAAAACCGGGGAAACGATAAGCAAAGAAAAGGGGAACTGGGGATAAAGTGGTAGATTGTTAAAACCTGGACATAGAGTTGAGAGGTTTTGTTTTGTTTTGTTTTGTTCGGTTCTGTTCTGTGTTGTTAAGTGTACCTTGAGTGTTTGGGAATGTTTGATTTTAATGGTTGGTCTGCTGGTTAGTGGGTTAGATATGTGGGGTTTTCAGAAAGTAGTGGTGATTTAGGGGTAATTTAAATCAGCGTGTGCTTATTTGATTGCTGTAGTAGTGCTGGTGGTGGTGATGGTGAGCGTGTTCAAAGTGGTTTCGAAGTGTTTTATGCTGTATTTCTGTTAAAGTCTGCAAGAAAGAAAAGGAAGCAGTTAGACTGTGAAAACAGTGAAAAGGGAAAGAAAAAGAAGTGAGCATAAAGTAAACAAGCCTTTCGCACTACTGAAACGCACTACAGTTTGGCTAATGAACAGTGCAAGCAGGTAATTTGGTAATTGTTGCTCTAATTAATTGTCTTTGTCTTACCCGAAATGTCGATTAGTGGTTGAAATGTTGGTCACAATGAAGAAGAAGAAGAAGTGGATCATTAACGTGGAGAGAAAACAATTAAAGTTGTTGTTGTCGTCGTCGTCGTCTTTGCCCTGTCAAATGTACGTGTCAGTCAATCAATAGTCGCGAAAAAAAGTGGAGAAAAAGATAGTTTAAACTTTGGTGTGTGTGTGTGTGGCGTTTCTGGACTGGTTGACAGAAACTGGTTGAGAAGTGGTTCGTTGTACTGACTGTCAAAAAGTGAAGCGTAAAGTGCACCCCCGGTGTGAGTGTTTGCTGGGCGGATTTTGGGTATAATGTAGTGAAAGTTTAAAGTAGTGTAGATGGGGACTGCTGATAACAACCAACCACCAAAATCAATTGTCTGCAATTTTTGGTGCGTGTTTGTTGTGGCAACAGCACTCTGGTAACACTCTGGCAACTCAGCAGCTCAAACCTGATTATTATCAGTCAAGTGAAGATCGATTGGCGCATCAGTCAATGAGCTGGACTAATAGTGTTTCAGGCAATCAGTTCACAAGGTTTTCAGTCATTCGTTCAATGCCAAATCAGCAAATTAGCCTTGATGATGAAAAAAAAGTGAAAAAGAGATTCAGGGATGAGTACGAAAAAGCAGAAGCAGCAGACGACAGAGATTGCTGATTTTGATGGCTGCTTTAGCAATAGCTTTTTGGTGGTGGTGGTGGTGGTGGTAGGTGTTCTCTCG